CCCCGGGCCCGTGACCGGAGGATTATTAATGTCGGTGTTTTTTTTTTTTTTTTCGCGCCCCGCGCGTTTCGCAAAAATAACAACTAATAGTGTAACGTTACGACAATAACGATAATATAGCTTTGGGTCTCTCATCTTTTTTCGGTCCGGCGGGCGTTTCGTTTTCTGGGTTGATTTTTTTTTTTTCTTTTTTTTTTCGTTTTCGGTATTTTAATTTCCCTCCCCCCCCTCCTTCCGTAGTAATATCCGTTTTCTCTGTGCGGGCGACGTCGCTCGCTCTCTCTCTACCCCCCCCCACCCCCTCCTGCGCGCAAGCACACACCCCGTCCGCATATTATCTCTCTCCCCCGGCCGCCCGCGGATTATTCGGCTTATTTGGATGCGAGAAAAAAAAAAACCAAAATAAGGGTTCGGGAACGGCGACGACGGCGGGGCGCGCGTGTAATGGAAAAAATCACTGGCTCGAAAATAACAAGTTCCGAACACCGTCGTCGTCGTCGTCAGTCGCGGTCGTCGTTATTATACTTCGCGCGTTACGATATTTATTACCGGCACCGTCGCGCGTCGTTATTATTATTTTTTATTGTATTTTGGGTATTGCATGTTTTCGGCGCGTACCTATATAGAAACTCCTCCGGGACCGAATTAAAACCGGATGTTGATTTTGATAAGAAAAAAAACAAAAGCGACAACAAACAACGACGACGCTGATTATCTATTACCCGGGGACATTAAAAAAAAAAACATAAACCCTACCTTTCGTACGACGCACTCGTTTTCTTTTCCTTCCCCCGCATCGCGCCCGCGCGCGCCACACAAAACCCGGATAATTGACTTCTGGCCGACGAATGATATTTTATTATCGTTATTATTAATTTTTTTTTTTGTTTTGTTTGAAAAACTCTTAGAAAAACAACCGCGGTATCGTCGCCGATTCTCGCATCCCAAACGATCGATTTCGGCTAGTGGATCGCGTGCAGTTACCAAACAGTGGACACTCGAAATCGTGTTGACCGGTAACGGTTATTTATCGTGCGGACCGTACGTGGCACACTGTTGCGGCGGCGGTAAAATTATCGCGCCGCGAACCGGAACAAACAAAACGCACTACAGTGTAAACAGTGTTTACACGCCACTGTCCGCAGCCGCCACTGTTGCGAAAAATCAATCGGATTCTATACGAACCGAACGTGGAACCGGTTGGCGACGCTCGCGTATTTTCGAACGGGTTTTGCATTTTTCGTTTTTCTAAAGTAATAATATTTCCGATTAATCGGTTTAACGATTTGTTTTGATTTTGATTTTTTTTTTTTTTTTCCAATTTTCGAATTCTCGGAGACCCGCACCCGTTGGATTTTACGACGCGACAACGTTCAATTGCGACATGTACGGGGAAACACGAAGAGACGCATATGTAAATTTCTGTCTGGGTCGGTCGATAAGTTCCATACGGCTCTCGTGCAATAGTTACTGATAACAATAGCAACGATAATAACGATACACCGTCGATCATTCTGTAATCTCGATTTAAATTATTCGCTGTTGTAGATGTCATGATCGATATAAGATCAGTGTAGAACCCGTATGAAATACGCACGCAATAATCGTCGAACGCGATTATTATTTTCGTCGTTCGTCCGAGTGTGTCGCGGTAGTTTCAACGTACAGTTGAGCGTCCAGAGATTTTAAAACATCGCGTTATTACGATAATTGGACTTCTCGCGGGCAATAGCGGACAACATAGTATTGTACATTTCGTGCGCTTAATTTGTGTATTTTCGTACCGATTTGTGGCGATTGCAACAATTTGTGTAGAAACGGTTTTGTCACTACTATATTAAAACATATTATTCGGAAAAAAAATGACGTTTCGACAAAATTCGATTGACAGTATTCGGGAAAATCGAAAAAGGCTGTTTGGAAAATTCGATTCGGAAAAAAAGTCGGAAACCATAATGTTTACATACGCGGCTTACGCTGTGTCCTGTGTAAACCCGGCGATTTCCGAATTACGGTCGTTGCGAACGAATTATATTGTAACGCGTTTTCGCCGTTCGCGCTCGTGACGAACGTGCGGGTAAACGGAGAGCAGACGTACGCATGGGCACAACCAGATCACCAACTAAAATTATGGACACATCAAAGACCCACGGGGGTCCTGCAATACCCATTACGTGACTCTTGCTATACGTTTCGTTTAAAATATTTTGTGCACACAAATTATTTATCATAACTATTTTAACATTGTTTTCCACACACACACACACACACACGCGCGCGCGCGCGCATTGTATGCATGGGAAATCGATATTTTGTTCTGTTCGTTAATTACGAGATACACGGATAACGTTTTTAGCCGTTCCTATGGAAAAACTGATTGGGTTTTTTTTTTTTTTTTGGGGGGGGTGGTGTGCTAATTTTAAATTTGGGGGTGCTAAAGACTATTTATCACCTACCCTTGTGGCGCCTATGGACGTATACGGTGCGTTACTGTGTCGTAAATTTATAATTTTTGTAAATCGATAGAAATAATATCAACAGTATACCAACAGATTGTCACTAAAAGCTGTGAAAGCACAACACTAGAGTACTTACAATTCGTACAAAAAGTACGGGGAAAACGTATTCGTACGCGTTATTCGACGGACTTAAGCGAAATTTCCCATTTCTAAGTAGAGATTGTTTTTGTTTTTGTTTTTTCTTTCGAAATTAAATTTTCAATGCGTTAAAAACTGTATAGCCGGGATGACGGCTGTTCGACGGTCCGTAATGTTGTTATAATGATACGCGAAGTTGTATTAGGTGAATTTATTATTATTACTATTTTCTTTTCTTTTTATAAAATTTTTTACGCCATATTCCTCCGTATATTTCTCTGATCTCTGTTTTTCTCATTAAACCGGGCACGCGGCGGATGCGGAGGCGATCACAATAATTTTCACTTATCCGTTTAATCTTATTTACATTTATATATCCGGTCGAAATAAAATTGAAAAATATTCCGGGAAAATACCAGTGGAAGGTTGTTGTTTCTTTTTTTCTTTTTTAATTTTACATAATATAAGTATACACGGATAAGTTTTAATTCGCGATAAAGTATAAAATTATTATTATTTTTAAACAAAGATTACAATTTTGAATAATAATACGACGACGACGACGATTTATTTACATTGCATAATAAATATATAATTTCTACGGCGAATAGATAAACGCGCAATTTATCATAGTATATAACCGGAAATCGTTACAGTTTTAAAATAATAATTAAGTTTTATTTAATTGTTTTTCAATCAAACGCCAGGCTTGTGTTCGTGGTTAGGGATAATCGAGGATAGGCAACTTTTTCAAGTCAATTATTTCAGTTTCAGCGACAGCTAAAGTCTCAAATTCGGCATTCGCACAAAAAAAAAAAAAAAAAAAAGTACACTGCGTAGAAAATAAAATAAAAAATTGAAATAATGAATGCGAATGAATGCAACCTAGAACTAAATTTAAAAAAAAAACTAAAATTATAAAATATGAACATGAAAATCATAAAAAATAAAAATAAAAATAGAAAGAACACAGAAAAAAAATAGCTGTTCTAAGATAATGGAGACGGGTGCAGCCACCTTTCAGAAAAGTATCTACATAATATACATAGAATTAAGTTTTCGGGTAGAAAAAGTGTTCACATAAAAAAAAAAAATAAACATCTTTGTAATATCAATACTTTCTACTTAAAATCTAAACAAAACACGAAAGAAAATTTCAACAGTAGGTTTATTATAATTTTATATACATTGCACGCAGTAAAGATTTATGGGATTCGTAAATCGTGTAGACATTAGCGGTGTGTTATCGGTAGCGCAACAGGATTTATAATCGGGGAAGAAGAGTTTGTAAATTCAAACAAATTTCTGGACAGGTTTTTGGGATAATAAATTACTAGGTACATAAGTAAAGTGTACGACGCACACGTTGACGTATTCGAAATTAAAAGAGCTGTACGCGAATAGATGAATGATGAATGCGAATAAATGCAGCCTTGAAGCCAAAGACCGGAGAAAATAAGCTTTTAACACTATATAAATAATTATTAAAGTTACTAAGCACTTATTTTAAAATGACATACAAATTAAAAAAAAAAAGCTGTCCTAAGATAATGGGGACGGGTGCAGCCACGTCCGTAAGTGGGAAGTAGTGTACTCCGGGCAACGTCTG